TCCGGTCCTGGTCGAACAACCCTAAGTCGCCCTCTCGACCGCGCGCTCTCCCCTCTCTCCCTCCTCGTAATCTTCTCGTACGGGCTATCTGGGAACCGATCCGATGGCCTTGTGTAAAATCAACATTATTTAGTATCCTCCGGTCTATGTGTGGGTCCACACTTTTGAGAAAAATCACAAATGGACTGTATTATTTTTATTCAGTGTTAAAATAAAAACTAGTCTCGTTACGGCTTTGTTTGTCAAGTTTTATATTACAAGGTAGTTCTAGTCCAGTGTAGGCCAGTCTTATAATTTGACGTATCAAACATCACCTTGTTATATAGTCTGATGATTATAGTCCTAATAAGCTGAGTTTGGCGGAGTTCTGCAGAACGTACAAAACAGTGTGATTTTTATAGATTGAAGATATTGGGTACGCCTTTATTAATGGTAATCGTTTCGAAAAACTGTGATTACAAAGAAGGTGATTCCGTGTGTCAACACTTACTGGTGTGTGGCAAAAACCGAAGTGGTGTAGAATGGTGGAGTGGGCTCCGCGTTGTGCGTAAAGTGCAAACCGGACACCAGAAAAAAAGGAGAAAACGGTGTGTCAAGACCATGTGACTGACGAGTTGGCGCGTCGCCTCGTCCGCCCCGTGTTGTCCGCGCGAGATGAAAAACTAAAGTTGGTCGACAGCGCGAGTTTGTGAAGAGCAGCGGCGAGAAGAGCTCGAAGTTCGCCGAGGAGTGGGTGTATAGTCGATAGAAGTGGATATATAAGTCCGGTTGACACACGATTGGACTGGTTCTTGTTGTAGTATCACAGTTTTCGAAACCGATTACATTAATAGAAGGCGTACCCAATATTACATCTATGTAAAAATGCTTGTATATTCACTGTTTTACGTTTACGTTGCAGGAACTCCGCCAAACTCAGCTATTAGGCTATAATATGAAAGACTATATCAACAAGTATTTTATACGTCAAATTATAGAGATGCGCTACGACGTTGGAACTAGAACTACCGTTGTCAATATAAAAACTTGAAAAAGGGAGGCCGTAACGAGAGCCTAGTTTTTATTCAACAGTGAAAAAAATAATAGCAGGTCCATTTGTGATTTTTCTCCAAAGGTGTGGACCACACACTAAGACCGAGGTACTAAATACATGTTAGATGTTTACAAAGGATGGATTCGGTTCCACGATAGGCCGTACGAAAGTTAGAGAAAATCTATTCTCA